CGACGCCGCTCAAGCCGGAAACGGGCCCCTAAGAGCTGCGCTCTAAAAAATATAATAGACTACAATTGCAAATTACCAAGCCTCAAACGTAATTGATTACCTTTACAAATTACTTTAGTTGAGGAATAACGGATTACTTTATTCGTTAAGTTACAGATTACTTACACGCTACTTTTCCCGCACTCATCAAGAAAACAATAAAAACAATTTTATGTTTTCATGAACTTTTTTCAGCACTGCTTTTTTATTTATTTTCTGCATTATGGTAGTTATTTTAAAAATAATATAAAATACTCCAGAGAAAGGATGTTATGATGATGCAAAGGTGCCAGCGAGCTGGAGAAGAACGACGGTAATAATTTCTGGAGAAGGGAAACATGGAGTACAAAAGACAAACACAAATCTCCAAACACAGCTATGTGACTGGTGTGCGACCGAAAAACTCCGCCTGGTCCTGGTGTCGAGCCAGGGACCCCTCCATTTCCAGTGGAGCGCTCTACTAACTGAGCTAATCAGGAGTTAGACGTCAGTAGAGCAAATGTGTTTTATCAGCTGCCACCAGTTTAACACCAACAAAAACGAACGGCCTGCATTATAAGGTTATTATGATAGTGCAATTATTATATTGCAAAGTTGCAAGTGAGCTAGACAAAATGACGATAATAATCCCTGGAGAAGGGATTGTTATCCAAGAATATTCCCTGGAGAAGGGACACAACTAGGTGACTGGTCTCTTTTTAGAGAGCAGTAACCTAATAACAAATATCCCCTAGCAAAAAGTCCAATAGAGATTTCTTTTGGACCAATATAGATTTTTATGGGACCAATATAGATTTCTATGGGACCAATAGGAATGTCTATTGGACCAATACAGACTTCTATTGGCCCAATAAGAATTTTTATCGGACCAATAGAAATGTCTATGGGACCAATACAGACTTTTATTGTCCCAATAGGAATGCTACTTGACCAATAGAGATTTGTATTGGTCCTATAGGAATGGCTATAGGACAGATAGAGATTTGTATTGGTCCTATAGGAAACCTCTTTTGGACCAATAGAGATTTATATTGGTCCAATAAGAATGCCTTTTGAACCATTTGGGCTTCTTTATCAGACGAATATCGAGCTTCTTTGGGACACATAGCGCCCTTCGAGATCAGTAGACCTGAGCAATAGGAAGGTCTACGACCACTTGGACATGTGTCGTAATTTAAAGCAATAGTTAAGCTGTATTGAACCAGTCATTTGGGCTAGTCTTCTGGGCTATAGTAGAACATAGAGCGAGAGAATTTTTATTGCATCAATATATGGCTCTTTTGATTAGATCTCAGGATATATTACAGGAAGTGAATGATGTGGTTATGCAAAGACTTTAAAAGAAAAAAAGGCTTTTCGCAAGATTTTAAGAAAGGCAAGAATTCGTGTTCTTAACAATGTCTGTAATCTAGTTTGTTTGTCAAGACCCCAGCAAAATTTTAATTTCTTTACAAAGTATTATATAAACTTGTGTTGAATTGCCTGACAGTAGAATAAACTTCTATTCAGGATTAGTAAAGTATATGAATAATTTATAATCTTGAAAATAAAACTTCATGCCACATTGATTGGCTTCACACCTTTATGGTCAAATGGAATTTATAATGTAGCATATAAAAATGTAGACATTAAGAATTTCATTTCAAATATCTTAGAAATATATTGATTATGCTGTTTTATGCACCAACAATTTTTCCACCGGAAGCAGCAGAGATAAACGTGGTTTATGTTACGCTATATTAAAGTGAATTCCAAAGGTCACTGTGCTTAGACAGATTCAAAGTGAAAATGTGACACCTAGCGGCTTTTATTTATAAAAATGTGAAACTGCATTCCACAATTTCTTGCTGCATTTTGAACCTGTATACTTCAATTCAAGAATGCATTGCAAAGGGGGTAGTCCAGGCTGACAAACACTTCAGTTCTTACAAATTGTTTAATAACCTAGATATTGTGCTGCCAATAACAAGAAATAAATGAAGACACATGAACTAAAGCAATTATTAATATATATAGTAACAAATACTAATAATACAATTTTTTAACAAACAATGGAATAAAAATAGGTCTGCCACAGATGGACCATTTTTCATTTTACAAAGCAATACCTGCAGAAGCTTTTTGCTATAATTTTGGAAACTGCAGCAGCATAGTTTTTGAACACTGTAGTATATATGCACTAATCTTATGATTGAATTACTGTAAAATACCGAGCAAGCGCCACCTCAAAATTTGACGATAATCACAAAACACTGGGCAATGGCCACTTGTTAGGTCATCAGCTTTACACATATTATATGTACTGTGCACATTTTTTTCAGATGTTACAAAATTTGGGTGTAGCACTTGGTGTGAAATGGGCAGATGCTTGGTATTTTACAGTAGCCGTTTCTCAATTCATGTCTTCATCGAAATTAATTTTTTTGTGTGTTTACAATGCTTAAAAATGGCTGCAGCATTCCTACTGGTGCACTTGTGAATAGCAATACAACAAGAAATATGGTAACCGCAGACAGTACTTAAACCATAAAAATTAAAAAAGCATACTGATAGGGCCAACATTTTGAGTAGCAAAGCACAAATACAAAGACTGTAGTGAAAAATACAATAATTTCAATAGTTTCTTAAACATGAAAAATTTGTAAGCATGTCTAATGGTGCTCAACCATATGCTTGTGAGTTGCTGAACATGACTATGGGCATTGTAGCAAGAAATATAATTTCTAAGGCTTCCTAAGGGGAACGCTAATTCTGAAAAGTGCAAAATAAAAAAGATAAAAATTAGTGTGATTCATAACACACATACATGTTTTCCAATTATTACTCAGACATATGTACATATATTCAGTTCAACGGATTCAAAGTCACATAGCCAGGCTGCTTACAAGCCAAGCCGAATCGTGAAACATACTTTTGCCATAGCTTTTTATGGGAATATTGAAAGATGGTTCGACATAAATATTTTACACAAAACAAAGATTTTCTTAAGAAGTAAAATAAGAAAGGACTAAAATGAGCAAAATATATGTGCTTAGCACACATAGTTACAGTAGATCTTTTGCCCAAACATAAAATCAAATCAACTAAACAGCTTTAAGATGAGTGTCTTTCCTTAGAGCATGAGAAAGACATAATCATACTACCGTAAAGTTCCGAGAGAATGCCCGCCCCCAAGAGATCGCCCATCCTGTTTTTCTGGCTAAATATCGGTAACAAAGATTACGAAAAATCGCCCACCACCCGATTCCCGCCAGACGTCGCGCGATGTCCGACAAGAATCACATTAACCGTGCAATTTGCTGTACCGGCACGTCTGACAGGCGAGTTCATAGCGGGTTCCCACGTTTTTGTCTCAATCTGCGCGCGCAAGATTGGCTCCCAGTACACGCGGGTTGTTCCCGCGTGTATGTTGCACTGTGAAATGCGAATCTGCTGCGTCCGGAATCTGCGGTATCTGTTACCGTGACTTAAATCTGCGCGCGCGATCTCAATTCCACGCTAGTTGGTCCCATGTGTATATTGCTTTGTGAAATACGATTCTGCTGCGTTCGCGAACCGCGGTATTTGTTCTTGATACGTACGAGTTTGTAGCAGATTCTCACGTTTTTGTCCGCGATCTGCGCGCGCGGTATCGGTTCTCGTGACAGGCAAGTTTGTAGCGGGTTCCAGCGCATTTATTGCACCATAAATCTTAAATCTGCTGTGTTCGCAATTTGCGGTATTTGTTCCCGTGATATGCGAGTGTTCGGCGAGTTTCCGTGGGTCCTTCACACCGTTGATTGCGAATCTGCTGTGTCCGCAACATGCGGTATCCTTTCGTGTGACACAGGAGTTCGTAGTGAATTCCTGCGTGTTTATTGCATCGTGAAACGCAAATTTACAGTGTCCGCGATCTGCGGTATCAGTTCCCGCGTCACGTGGCTTGTAGCCGGAGCCAGAGTGTCAATGATTAATTTTTGATAAAATTTTCCTGTGGCATTCCCCAAAGATAGCCCACCCCATGTTCTTCACCATTTGTATCTTCATTTTGGGTAGGCGTTCTTTCGGAACTTTACGATAGTAGTGATAAAACAAACAATCAAACTACATCAAATGAAGACTCCCCTGCATCTAGTCTCGCTCAAACATATTAGGGGTGCTAGACAAACAGTGGGCATGGACCATTGACACGCACGGTCGAGTCACCTGACTTGTCTCGAGAAGCTTTATGCGGGAAGGCCTGCGTGCTGCAGATAATCTGAAGAGGTGGTCTACCCTCGGATCACTATGGTAGGAAAGCTGAGAGCAACCTAACAATTGTTGGCCACTGCCCACCTCCCAGATCTTGTTTAGTACATAGTGGTGGCCATCGCTACCTGCAAAGACAGAGTTGTTGGTCTTCTTGGGGCGCTTGTATGAAGCCGAGTGGTACTGGTGCCCCCGCTTGTCCCCTAGAGCAGCCTGCTCACTTTCACTGAAGGCTGTGTACAGCCTACCCAGATAAAAATAACCATTGGGTCCAATTGATTTCTGACAATTGGAACCAAAAGGGAAAACCGTTTGTGATTTCGGACTCCTCAATGAAAAATCCCAATTGGTTCCGATTGTCGAAAACCACTTGAGCATTGTCAATTGGAACCAATTGGGCATGACCAATTGGGAAAACCATTTGTGATTTCGGACTGCTTATTGAAAAAATCCCAATTGGTTTCAATTGTCGCAACCCAATTGAGCATGGCCAATTAGAAGCAATTGGGCACGACCAATTGGGAAAATCTTTTTTTGCGGTTTTGGACTTTCATTAAAAAAATCTCGATTGGTTCCAATTGTCAAAACCCAATTGAGTGTTGCAAATTGGAACTAACTGAACACCACCACATGAAAAAACTGCTTATGGTTTGTGATAACTAGACAATGAAACACTAGTAGATGATTTTTGACATTTTTATTGAAATGAAAACTCATTCGGCCTCCTCTGTTGCTCAGGCGTTGCCCTCTGGTTCCACAGCTCCCTCCAGGTCAAACTTTTCCTGTGCAGCTTTCCTAGGAACACCAATATAGGTTAAATTACTTAATGGGATATAAGTGTTCATAGTTAGCTTGCGATAAAAAACAATAATGTTTTCAAAGAGATAAGATAATCCGCCAACCAAAAATTGAAATAGTAGCGACCCTACGTTTCGAAACCGTTCGTTTCTTCTTCAGGGGGATGAATGAAGGACAGCAGCTTCTTCTTCTTCTAGATGTTGAGCGACTTCTTTTTCTTTTTCATTGGTCTTAGTAGGCTGGTCGTGCGGTGCGCGGTCTGTTATAACATCTTGGAGGCCGGTAATATATAAAGTTAGAAGTGCCCCTAAGGACCTATTGATGTTGTTAGAGGTTGTTTGTATGTACCATGACTCTACGAGGTGTCTTCTACGTAGATTTGATGCCGTGTCTAGGATGCTTGCGTTTTCAAAGGCAATGCGGTGGTCGAGGGTCTCGCAATGTTCAGCGAGAGCACTGCGTTCTCTGTCGAAGTTTCGCACGTCGTTTTTATGTTGGCGGAGCCGATCGTGGAAGTTCTTCGATTCGCCGATATAGGAGGCGGGGCATTGGGAGCATGGAATCTTATAAATGACGCCCTGGGCCCTGTCCTTCGGTGGCTTGTCCTTTGGGCGGGGTAGGAAGTGCCCAAGAGTTGTCACCGGTTTGTGTGCAACCATAATATGTTCCTTTGCGAATAGTCTGGATAGTAGTTCGCTCGTTCCTTTCACGTAAGGGATGCTGACGCGTGCTAGCGTTTTGAAGCTGTTCTTGCAGGTTGGTTTATCCTATTATGGCTCTGACGGCGAACCACATGGCGAATGAAATTACCGGTATAGCCATTCTTTTTTAGGTCGCTGATGATTTTTGTTCCTCTTTTCTTTTGTCGTTTTCAGAAGAGCACACAGCCTTAGCTCTCGTGAACAGTGTGGAGACGACAGACGCCTTGTGGCTAACCGGGTGGTTGGAATCGAACCGGAGGTAACGTCCAGAGTGAGTTGACCAGCACATCGAGAAAGGGCAAAGTGTTGTTGTGTTCGCGTTCCACAATTTAACGTGGAACGCGAACACAACAACACTTTGCCCTTTCTCGATGTGCTGGTCAGAAGACAAGGTGATGCCCTAAAATTTACCGTGCACAGAAAACCAACTCACTCTGGACGTTACCTCCGGTTCGATTGCAACCACCCGGTTAGCCACAAGGCGTCTGTCGTCTCCACACTGTTTACGAGAGCTAAGGCTGTGTGCTCTTCTGAAAACGACAAAAGAAAAGAGGAACAAACAATCATCAGCGACCTAAAAAAGAATGGCTATACCGGTAATTTCATTCGCCATGTGGTTCGCCGTCAAAACCATAATAGGATAAACCAACCTGCAAGAACAGCTTCCAAACCGCTAGCACGCGTCAGCATCCCTTACGTGAAAGGAACGAGCGAACTACTATCCAGACTATTCGCAAAGGAACATATTATGGTTGCACACAAACCGGTGTCAACTCTTGGGCACTTCCTACCCCGCCCAAAGGACAAGCCACCGAATTACAGGGCCCAGGGCGTCATTTATAAGATTCCATGCTCCCAATGCCCCGCCTCCTATATCGGCGAATCGAAGAACTTCCACGATCGACTCCGCCAACATAAAAACGACGTGCGAAACTTCGACAGAGAACGCAGTGCACTCGCTGAACATTGCGAGACCCTCGACCAGCGCATTGCCTTTGAAAACGCAAGCATCCTAGACACGGCATCAAATCTACGTAGAAGACACCTCGTAGAGTCATGGTACATACAAACAACCTCTAGCAACATCAATAGGTCCTTAGGGGCACTTCCAACTTTATATATTACCGGCCTCCAAGATGTTATAACAGACTGCGCACGGCACGACCAGCCTACTAAGACCAATGAAAAAGAAAAAGAAGTCGCTCAACATCTAGAAGAAGAAGAAGCTGCTGTCCTTCATTCATCCCCCTGAAGAAGAAACGAACGGTTTCGAAACGTAGGGTCGCTACTATTTCAATTTTTGGTTGGCGGATTATCTTGTATCTTTATTATTTACCCAACCAGAGAGAATTCTCTCAAACATGTTTACCTTGAAATAATGTTTTCCCTCCATAAAATCTGACTTCATTTATTTATAATCAAGTCTTCGATGCTGCAGCAAAAGGCGGCCAAAGCCGCCCGACAAGGATTTGCAGGCAGCATTTTGGACTGCCGTAGAATGCCCAGCAAGCGCCCACTCAAAATTTGAAGATGTGAGGTCATCAATCTTATATATATATATGTACTGTACATATTTTTTGAGACGTTTCAAATTTTGGGGGTGGGCACTTAGTGCAGAATGGATGGATGCACGGTATTCTACGGTAGTCAGAAATATGGATCCATAAAAATTCTATTTTGCTTGAAGGAGAGCATTCGGCAGTATGTGCAGTACATTCATAATCAATGGAAAAATTCTGGTGGTTGCAAAGAAGAATAACTGCGACCATGTTGACGAAGTATGATTCCATACTTCGGATACTCAACGACTAATTGTTTCCTATGAACCACTGAGGCATTCTCTGCTGCAAGGGGTTACAGCTAATATGCTGTAACTATACACATATACCACATAGTTACAGCATTTGCCATATGCTCGCTGCATGCAGAAGGCAACATGGAAGAAAGCCTGCTAAGAGGAAAAAGATGCATGCTGCTTTGAAAAGAAATGAAACAAACATAACGCACCTCCTAGAGTCAAGCCTGCTCAGCTCAGTGATTTTCTCCTTAATGAACCTGGTCACATCCTTGGCTCCGGCCTTGGCGAACCTCTCCGGCATGCCATTGCTCACGGGGTGAGCCACGTAGACATCTGCATGAAAAAGTAAGACACTTGGCTCAAAACCGACACATCAGAAAACTGTAGTATAAATCAATAAAATGAGTGAAGATTGACTACTATAATGAAATAGCAGCTACAATCTAGCAACCACAACTCTGCTTTTCAAAGAACAGTCTGCTGCTTAAGACTGCTGTTTGGTTGCACAAAGTTGTTCAAGTACAAGGAGGCATGAAGCCGTTCAAGTATGACATCATGACAATACAATAGACCAATCTCTCAAACTCTTATGTGCATGCTTCACTCTCATGACTTGCCACGCGTGTGGAAAGAATAAAGTTCCTGTAATGCATCACAGCAGTGGTGGACTTGCGAAACTGGCTGGTGGAATTTATCTTTGAAGTGTGACATAACGATAGATTTTAAGAAAGCACCTGTGCTCTGCTTGAGCACAGGCTCCATCAACGCAGCTGTGCTGCACTACACCACCCGGAGGCTGATTATTTCAATGGCATGACCTGCTGACAGCAAAGTCATAGCAACAGTAAGGAAAGACACCGGAAAAAGCTCCTATCGACTTAGGCAAATAATGGTGCCCATTGTGGAAACGCAACGTTTCATTGCATAAGCATATTAGTATTGTAAAGATATCATGCCACATATTAAACTGCAATGCATTTTAATAATTTTCTGAGCGCAGTTAAGCTTACGTAAAAGAAAGCAGCTCAAATTCAATGCAAACAAACAAAAAGTTAACAGCTACAGCTGTGAAGTGCAATAAAAAATACTACTCACTTTTCAGGACAGAGAGTTTGGTAGGGCAGAGGGGCGGCTTCCTCTCTTGGCCAGGTTTCTTTGGGCAGTGTCGTCCTTAAAAATAATTCATAAAAGGTTAATCAGATGCTTCCACCTCTGATAAACACTGCCATATTTTCTGGACTATACATGTCTAAAGGCTCATGCATACTTTATGCTGTGCAGACTATCTTCAGTTGCAGATTAGATTGTTTGTTACCTCCATACTGTCCAATCAGATTGCCGTGTTCACAATATTTTATGCAGGGACGTTAAGTAAGCACCGCAAGGTCAAACTCAATGCATCGCCAAGTCTTTTGATATGTTGCAAGTGGCACACGGTTTGCCTGGGTGCCCTCAAGCAACCAATGCGTGTCAAGATAAATCTTTAGAAGCTCTGGTATTGACCGATGAGAGGGGTACATGTCCACAAATATCCCTTGCCTGGAATGTCTAATGGTGAATTCAGCTGTCAGACTTGACGCGCTCCAAAGACCTCCTTTTGAAGCGCACATCTTGAGCTCATGGACTCGAATGAAGCTGGCCACCATCAGGCTGCATTTGCTACAGCTTTGGAGCGCCCCAACCGACACGCACCAAAGACGGAGGAACGATTTTTCGCAATATTCCGCGGCTGCCGCTCACCAAGCCGCTGCCTCCAGTTCTTTTATGAGTCACTTTCACAAAGCAGCAGCAACGCCGCACGTAAGTCTGGCACAGAAGCTATTTCACACAACAACCCAGACGCAGAAATCCCTCCTGAGACAAGGTCACTAAAGCCCCGCTCACTCGTCCTGTTGGTCCTGCCAGACGTGTGTCTGGGTTGTTGTTGTGTGAAAGAGCGTCTGCACTGAACTTGCGTGCGGCTTTGCTGCTGCTGTATGAAAGTGATTCATCAGAGAACTGAGGCTGCAGCTACGCGAACAGCAGCTGTGAAATATTGCAAAAAACGTTCCTCCGTCTTCGATGCGCGTCAGTAGGGCTGCTTCAAAACTGTGGGGGTATACCTACGGCTGGTCGATTTTGAGGACGCTCCACGTAACAGGTTTTCTCCTCCATCGAGGATTTTGGGAAGTGGTCCAGATCTACCAGCTGAACTCACCACAACAAAGCAGATTTTCCGCCCGAGTTTTTCTCCAAGGACTATGCACCGTTTACAGCAGACGTGCATGACATGGCCATAGCTGACCTTCACTTTGAGTTTCCTTTTACTTAAAGGGACCATTAAATAAATTTGAAATCGACTTTCATCCACCGCACGTCGTTAAGGGTGTAAAAAGAAAAAAAAAAAACACGAGAACAGAGAGCCAAAAAAATTCTTCGCTGTAAAACTTCCAAAACAAAACCGGCCTCTTTTGCGCCTTCTTTCCTACAAAAGCTCTCTGCCTTTTCACTGCGATGTGTCCAGGGGTGCCACGGCACGTCAGCCACATATATACGTCGCCTATTGGATAAGAGCCTAACTCACCAGCACCGCGATCATAAACAATAAATAGCCGGCTAATGTTTATTAAAAGCTTTGTTAAAGAATATTCTGATGCATATTTTGTTGAATAATTAGCAATGTGATGGAAATTGCTAAGTTTTATGATGCTAGGAGTTGTGCGCCATCTATTGTGCGGTAAAATAAGGCCGTGCCTGCGCAGTTGCTCTCTGCTAGATAAACAAGGCGTCAGCGGTGATGGTTGACAAGGTCGGCGTAGAGGAAGAGCATCGTTCCGCGTAGAGCGCTATCCTTGATTGAATTTTCGTCGCGTGTCACGATGATAACCCAGCACGGCCTAGAAGGGAACATCCATCTACTTGTGCGGCGATGTTGTGGTGGCACCCTCAACACAGCAGAAATGTTCTTTTCTCTTCTCATCTACTCTGCCCTGCGAGCCTATCCTGACAAAATAAAAGTTAATAAAGCTTGAGCCCATAAAAAAACTCTGAGCACTTTCTGCCACGCCAATGACGAGACTAAAACTCTGCGTAATTTCTGCCACGCCAAAAACTCTGTACTGCAACACATCTAATTAAATTTCGCTCAGCTGCGATGTCTCCATGACTATCGCGGTGATGAGAGGCGCCGACTCAGAAAATATATCAGTGGCACTGGCGCCATCAGCGCAGTAAAACCCTGTGGTAAAACCTACCGGCACAGCGCCAGCTCGCCGCTACGCGGCCGCTAACGCTCTCATTGTCCTACTGTCGTGCCACTGTACGTCACGGCCATCAAAATTACACAGCGGCTTGTTTTGAGGCGACTTGGAGAGGAAGAAAAACTCAAACTTTCAATAATTTGTTGTGTAGAAGTTAATTAACCGAAGCGGATGCCTGTTCGGCGTGCAGTGAACATTGAAGGTTTAATGTGAAAATTAATTGGGCAAAAGTAAGAAGGTAACTTCATGGTCCCTTTAAGTTGCTTCCCATCACCACTGCAGTCATACAAGAACTCGATGCCTTTCTAGACACCACAGGGTTCCTTTTACCAATGCAGGCTGTTTTGACTTGTCACCACTAGTTTCTTTGGCACTCCCTCTCGGCGAGATATGGGAAAGTCAGTTACAGTGGCTCTAATTTAGAGCGGGTGCCAAGCGTCTATATACCGAGTGTAGACTATAGACAGGAAAATATGGCACTATGTTTCATAGAAACAATATAAATTTCCATGCAGCAGCATACAACATACTCCTAATAAAACACGGGTCTGCTTACCAAGGACCGAACTCTCCATTAGCAGCCGAGATTCGTAGACAGCCATAGCCAGGTCCTTCACAAACGAGGCATCTCTTTTCTCTTGTGCAAGAATCAACGATGCCTGGTCCACAAGAACACCCTTTCCGATGTCCACCTGAAAAACAAGATCATCCAAATGATGAAAGAAAAATCCAAGATCAAAATAAAACAGCCCATCGTTGTATATTTGAGTACATATATGGAAATACTGCCATTCCCAGCTGAGAATATTAATGCCCAGAGATGTTAGGGGTCCCCAAAGTTGCATGAATTGTTAATAATAGATCTAACTATCCTATGACCGAAAGTTCTCCCCAAGAATTTTTGAGAGATGGACATGGGACAATCACGAGAGGGTGAGCGTGTACACATACGTGCGTGCACGCGTGGGGTGTTATAGGGGCACTGCAGAGGTTTTCGAGATTGTTTCATTATGGCTGTAACTAGATCTACATGCTCCGAGCATCCCGAAAATCACAATGATGTGCAGCTTATTTCACTATAAACTATGTATTCAAAGGTTGCGAATCTGACTTACAGATAGCGCCATCGAACCTGGCCAAATGTGATCAGACAACGAATGGCGCTTGTCGGCCAGTCGCAAGCGATGACTTCTTGTGCAGACAAGCAGCCTACCTGTTCTGCTTGTCCACACGGCAAGTTAACGCTCACGATTGATTGATGGGTGCTGTTTGTCGATCTACCACATTCGCCTAGGTTCGGTGGCTCTATCTGTAAATCTGATATTCATAATCTTCAATAGCATTTTTATAGTGAAATAAATCGCACATGATTGACATTCTTGGAATGCTTAGAGCATGCAGATTGAGTTACAGTCATAACGAGAGAATCTCAGAAACCTCCGTAGTACCCCTTTCGTGTGAAGCAGTGCTACAGGCGCTATTTCAGCACTTTCCTGATTGCAGTGCGTGTGTTCAGAGCAGGGATGCCAATTGTGGGGGAGAGAGGCAATAAATTATGAGTTTAGAAAAATTAGTTATAAAATGACAGCAAGCCTTAAAAAACTAAATGTGCATTTGATCCATCCATCATGATTTCCTAACAACTTTTCATGACAATCTAGAACCATGAAGCGCTCAATACGAAGAAAGGCCCATGCTTCTGTCACACTCAGTAAGCCTGTATGGCTTACTGAATGATATTGATTCAGGTAGGTTTCTAGAAGAGTTCCTACTGTGTAAAGCACCTTTGACACATGGGCGTTTTCCTACATTGCAGCCCACTGCGACCGCTCTTGATGATGCTAGCTACCATTATGACAGCAGTATCATAGTCCTCTTACAATAAAAGGATCCCTTCCCAGCACATAGCAATGCGTCCGAAACGTTACTGTCTGAAATAGCCTTATAATTGATGGTCGTCAGTACTACTTATTTAGACATTCTTTGAGGAAAGACAATCTTTTTCACAAGCATACCATGTGGCCATCATTTTCTGCCAAGCGAGCGTTCCGTTCAGCAGGTGGTACTCTTGCACGGTCTGCAATTGGCAGTGCGGCAAGTTCAGGGGCAGCAGCCAAGGCTGCAGGGGCAGGAGCAGCCAGGGCCGCGGGGACAGGAGCAGCCAGGGCTGGGACAGGAGCATTCAGGGCCGCGTGGACAGGAGCAGCCAGGGCCGCAGGGACAGGAACAGCCAGGGCCGCAGGGACAAAGCAGCCAGGACACGGGCACAGGCAGCTGGCAGGGCAGGGGCACGAACAGCCAGGGCAGGGAGGGCACCCACCAGGGCATAGCCAGTTGCAGCCTCAAAGCCAAATGCAGCACGCTGATATTTTGGCACTGACATTTTCTTTCTTCTTCTGCAGAGGCATTGAACACGAGATACATCCTATGCTTGTATATAATGGACTTTATAATCCCATACCTTTCAAAGATTGCACTTTCTTTATTACAATCTCTTGCAGGTTGATGTTGAGCTGCCTAACTTGGCTGAGCTCCCTCTCCAACCGTGTGATATGCCTTTGCGCCCTGTCATACTTGACTTGCAGCTCTTCGAGGTCCCCCTTGGCATCTGGCTTTTTTGCAGTCACTTGTTTTTTCTTGAGCTCAAGTATCCGCATCAAGTCCGCCTTCGTTGATGTGGCTTGTCTCTCTTTCATGTGTTTCTGCAGATGGGAAAGCTTTATCAATTTGGTTCATCTACACCTAACCCCATGGTACACTAACGTTACCTTCTGCGCCTTGACATTCTCCTTCTCGGTGGTCAGTGAATCCTCTTCAGAGTAGTCGGAGCTCTCGATGACTTTACGGACACGTAGTCTCCCGTTCTTTAGATTTACCGTGACATCCTCTTCAGAGACTATAAGATGGATAAAAGTATGTTTGTATGAAACACGGGGGCAGAGTGCTGCTGAAGACTTTCACAGATCATATTAACTTAATCATCAGGTAAATCCTCAGATAGCTTTTCAACAAAGGATCTTAACGTTAAATTGTATGCTCTTACAGCTGTCGAACAATTCTATGCTATATCTTAGTTACCCTGGGCACTCGGTCATATCTGGTTTGAGAGACGAATTTCTAGTGTGTCGTATATATCTTGATAAAGTTTTCCGGCCAAAGCTTTAGCTTCAGCTCTAAAGCGACATACAGTTTTACAAAAATAAGTTGCCAATGTACTGCATCTTTTCAAAAAAAGATATTAGAGTTTTTCTCACCACAAAAATAAACTACAGATCATGGCCAGCTCAGATTTCACCAGAACGTAACCCTAGCAGTTAGTGCAACATGCTAAAATTTTGGAACATAGAGTGATCTGATTAAAAACATTGAAGCAATTTTCTTAAAATTTCAATGACCAATGTGTTGCATCTTGGTAGCGTCTCTTATTCACCTCAAAGTATTCACAAATACCAATGGCTGGCAATTTCTGATACAACGTTTTCAGAAATTGCTTATAAGTAAGTCAGATCATGCTATGTTTTGAAACTGGCATCTTGCTCCAACAACAAGGGCTACATCCTGGCAGTTTCGAGCTCACGGCGCCGCGTACATTATCTTTGTGGTGAGCAAAACACTTCTACGTACTTTCTCTGAAACACCTGGTATTCATAAACGATATGTGTAAAGAGATCAGATGGACCCGGAATCTAAAGATATGTCGGACATAACCAGAACACGGGGTTTTAAAAGTACAGCAGACGTGCCCGGCAAATTTTTTTAGCGCAAAAGTGAAGATTTGCATTCAGGGCACCAGACTAACTGTTAAAATTAAATGCTTATCACTGGCATGTAAACACGGATGATCCACCATGTTTTTCTCAGCTCGCTCTCCGACCATGTCTGAAGTGCTCGGCACTCAGCTAGCTGTTTAGAGTACCAACCTGGGCGCTGTTCCCTTGGTGCTCGGAAGTTTTGTCTTTATGCGGTCCGTACGGACATAAAAACGACTTACATCGGCTAGTGTGGGTGGACAGCAGCTCCCGCCTGCCAATCGGCTGTGATGGATTGACAGCCGTATAAGCAAAACTGTTTTGAAGCAGCTTCAAATTCCCTAAATGCCGTAAACTTGTCCCTAGCTTTTATTTACCGACACACAGGGCAGGCACACGACATGTGTAGCCGAGTGTAGTATACAGTGTCTTACACGCACACTGTATACTACACTTTTTTGTTAGTTATTTATCTTAATACAAGCGCGAGCAGCCACTAGCACGGAGCGCTTTTGGACAGCTCCTAAACCAGCGGGTGCGTCCGACGTTACCATGATCCGTGCTAGAACGTCGGCCGTATCTTTAGAAGTTAGAACTTCCCTTACCGGGTACGTCCGCCATATATTTAGACACAGTGATATACGCCAAATCTTTAGCATTATTGAAATCACGACCGCCCACCCTGGCGCTAGCAGAAGCTGCATGTAGAACGTACACGTGCAATACCATAGCCTCCGCAATACAAATGCACGCGATGTCATTCGCAGTCATACCGGTATTTTATCTGCCACGAGCTTTGGTTTCGTCGTGTGAGTTGCGCACCACAGAACTCGTGGTTCGAAGGAATTAGCTAATAGAAATCACCTTCAGTACCCAGCAATGACGACACTCGCGAGCTATGCGCGGTTGTTAGTCACTGCTTACCGGGCGCAAACGAGGGGTGGGAAATATAATTTCCCGATCGCAGTGTATGCGGCTTAACCATGACACCTACCTCCCAACAGAAATGTCCGGGCTCTGTAGAATTCACTGTCGCCACCATCACCATGCCATCTTACGTAGTACTTCGTTCCGTCGCTGAAGTCGCTAGGGCCACTCGGATGAAAATCTTTGATGCTCGAGATGGGCACAATTGCGTGGGTATTATCATCCACGTATCGTACGTACGCGTGGGTAATCATTGCATATGCAGATTGGCTGGAGCACGCGGCGAGTGAAATACGTAGTAGTCGGACAAAGAAGTTTGGCAATGACCGGGGGTCAGATCGGCAGTTTGCTTGGCTTGGCTTTGGATTGCGGCAATGGAGCCAAAACAAAAATAACAGCGATTATCAAACTTTTCAGTGGCGCCACAGGGTGAGCAGATTGAAAATTATGCTGGTAAGCGTTTGCACTGCGAAATTGTGTCTTTCCGCGAAAAGAGAGGCGAACTACACTCATTGGCCAAAAAAAAAAGGAAAGAAAAAGATTTTTTTCTTTTTTTTTACCCGGATGTGGTGGGTGACTCGCCGTCGTACACGCGCTGGCGTGTAGAAGGCTTGGCCGCTTGGCGTTCACTGATATCCGATGCGATTTGGGCTTTTCGAAGGGCCAGAGTGGTTCACCTTTTTTCTATATTGTGTTTTTACTTCTGACACTCGCTTCGTGTATACTTTGCGGGATGATAAAAAATCGCTAAATATTGATCGTTATTTGTTTTATTTTGATGTAGTTTCTCAACAAATGAGTGGGAAGCAGTGATCGACTGTGTTTTTAAGTTAGCAAAATATTATTTCTGCAGTGTGCGCGGTTTAATGTGTCATCTATTGCATCTGCAAACGCCTTAATTTTCGAGATTTCGATACTCGCTAAAATGACCCCGGACAAATGGGTTCCAAGTGCAATCCCGGACAGAATGATCCCAAATTAATTTTAGACACAGTTTAATATTTAACGAGGTGCTACTTTCAAGTTCCATTAAACAGACATTCAATGTTCGTATGATGCGAATTTCGCAGTACGACGGAGGGGATTATGAAATATCTGCTCTCGCATCTTCATTGCTCAAAGGCTTCCGATACCTAATGAAAATCACATTGCTTCTGTGCTCAACTTTAATGCGCTATTGGAAGATAAATCGTCTTCGCGGGGTGGTTGTGAACGCGACCGCTTAAAGATCCAGTTCAAATACACGCGCATTTGATGCTGAAAACATCCGCTTGTGATTCTGCTCTCACGCTGCTAAAATTCGTATTACCTTCGCATGAACTAACCGAGAATTCTGTGCTAGCGCGAGCGACTGGCCTTGACTGCCTTGACTGGAGCACCCGCTGCACGAGCGCTCGTGCTGCCGCCGAGGCTTCATTCGAAGCAACTAGCTCAAGCTTTTAGCACGCGCGGCTAACACTATACTTCGTCTCACCTTAGCATGGACCAACCGCGAATGCTGTGCTAGCGCGAGCGGCTAACATTGACCTCCTTGACTGGAGCACTCGCTGCACGAGCGCTCGTGCAGCCGCCGAGGCTTCGTTCGAAGCAACTAGCTCGCGCTTTTAGCACGCGCGGCTAACAATAGTCCATACTAAGGTGAGACGAAGTATAGTCCATACTAAGGTGAGACGAAGTATAGTGTGGATGCCGTATTACATCTGCAGCAATGCCAGTGAGCTCGAACGCTTCGTAACAACAAGAAACAAACGAAACAAAAAAAGACGCTTGACATAGACGGGGCACTTTTGGAGAAACAAACACACAGGACAGGCGCCCGTCCCATATGTGTGTTTCTTCTACTTTGTACCGTCCAAGCTTTAAAGTTTAATTCGATGATGTGAACAAGGTTTTAATGAAGTTCCGCGTTAGTTCAAAAAAGCAAGAAGACGTCCTGAGTGAAAGCCATGCGTCTGGCACATTTACCATCATTTCCTTTATGTAGTGAAATGTTTATTTCACAAATAAAATTCGTATTGTATTTTGTCCGGAATTCCCATTACATTTTGTCCGGAATTCCCATTACGTCAGCGTTTGAAAACACTGAAATATTCCGTTCGCAAAAAGTACTACGCGTGTACAAAACTTTAATGTTGCGTTCTGCAAAATTAATAAAAGCAGGAGCCTGCACATTCACATGGCTATCACATAGAACGTTACTGAAATATAAGAATCTCGCGTGTTCTCGAAGCGATATTCAGTCCTAAAACGAACGCGCTGTTTGATTACTTCAGTATAGACTTGCTTGTTTATTTTTATATAGTAGGTGAAAATGCTTTATTTACCGTCAGTTCCGGTTTTCATTAATTGCAGGTAGAGTAAAAGAGTTTGCTGCTGCAATCCAAATATCACCAGCTCTGTTTTTCTTTCTTTTTTTGAAAAGATGTTTGTTTTTTGCTTTTTTAGGCCGAAAAAGTTAAGTTTTTTGCAAGGCACACACCCCATCGTGCCTGGTATTTTGATAACCTTCCACAGAAATTGGGAGAGAGAATACATTATTCTCGAAGCCATGTAAATTGGGAAAGAAGTGGATACAACTAATTTGAAAACTTGTGATGGGTATGGTACCGTACAAGTCTCACTGGGATTTTGGCTTTCTCTAGATTATGTTCTTCAAGCTCTTCTTTTGGGATGCTATTACTGCTTCGAGATTCAAACGGAGATCTTGACACTCGCTTGGGAGTGAGACAGTGTAGATATTTATATCGTAAATAAATATCGTGAGAGGCTATTTTTATAAAGTAAAACAAGCATGCTACGAAGCGCGCGTCAGGAGTGGTGTCGAGACTTTGAACACAATTCTGCTAAAACTCGCGATTGTACTAGTGAAGTGTGTTTCTTTTGTGCGAATACAATAGAAGCTTAGTTGTCAACAAACGCACCTATATACAAAACCGGAAACGAGCGTGTTGGTATATTTCGGATCTGTATGTATAATGTCGTGACGACAATCATAAGATTGTCGTCACCCCTCCCTCCCATTTCTTTCCTCATTTTATACATTCATATTACGGCATATATAATTACAAAGTGTGTGAAATAAATACCATCGATTCCCCGGGTGTGTTAGGGAACCATTAGTCATTACTCTGAGTCAATGCCCTGGTGCTGCTCTGCTGTAAAAGCACACTGGCGGTAATATATAATTACTGCAATCGGCATTTATATTCTAGAGAATATTTCCGACCTCATTTAAGGCTCAAACACATTTGCAACGGGATCCCCGCCGCAAAGCGGGTTCGCCCGTTTTTGCAGCATAATGCGCGTGAAATAGCACTGAATGTTTAAAACACGCGCGCACGCGACCGCGTTCGCCGAATAATAAATAAAAGAAGATACGAGCGCACGACGGCATTTTATTGTCGTAACCGCAGCGGTAACATAGCGGAACTATAAATTTGGGAAGTTATTCATTAATGTCGTTCATGATGCGTTCATGATGCCTGATACGCCGCTGATTGGCTCTGCTGCTCTGCGACTAGATCGCATCGCAAAAGTCGGGTCAGCAAGCGACTGCTCGAATCGCGTCGCTTTTTTTCCGCAAAGTAGGAAAGGGACTTTTGCGATGAAAGTTATTGCGCGATTAGATCACATCGCCGGTGAACGCGCCTTTATTCTTAGAAGCGTGGCGTTGCGGAAAACAAAAAATTCGAAGCCGGTTTAGAACGCAGTTATAATTACGTTACATCGAACTTCGAAGTGAACGCGATGTGTGCCAAAAACCGACATGACATGAGTCATGACCAACGTTCCCAAGGATATGGAGACCTTCCCGCACCCTCTCCTAATCCGAAAAGAATGCGACAATGGTATTGTCCCCCACCCCTGCACCGGTTCTAAATCAAACGTAAAAAAAAAGTAGGAAAGGGACTTTTTGTGATATCGGAGGAAGATTAGAGTAAAAGGGCTTAACAATGAGACTACCCTAGCGCCATCTGGATTTCTAAAAAGGAGTATATAACTCATACACCGAGTGCTAGTAGAAGTGCGGGTGACATCGAGTTTTACTCGAGTAGGTCAAAGTTACTCTGGCTGGTCATATCACGTGACTACATACATGGGATAACGCTGAACGTAGATGGCATATAGGACTTTTTCGAACGCCGAGGTAGAAACTCTTTTTTGAAATGAGATTGAATACATATTTAGAACACAGCCATATCAGCCAAATGTCCTGCAAACCGCAAACCACGACCAACCGTAAACACGGCCGTGCGGCTGGCTGGGCGATCTCTGGTGATTCTATGGCTCTAGGAACTGGATTACGTGATTTCTGTTCTGAAAAGATAATCAGAGGTTCTTCCTTGTTAGCACGCCGTCTTTACACGAGGCCTGTGAGCCAGTAATTTTCAATGGAGAGTTCGGGCGGGAATTCGCCAACCTCGGAGCCACCAAAGTGTCCGGATCTTGCGACTCCATGCCCCAGACGACCGAGAAAACGGGGGCCCTATAAGCAGTATTTTGTTCCTGGGTCCCATGCTCCCATTCCGAAGTCTACAAAGTACTGCCAGAGACAAGACGGCGCATGTGGAACCCCTGTGAGTATTGAGTTATCGCTCCGCGCGCTACGACGTTCGACCTAAAATTACGTGCGGGTTTCGTCAGTCTGAACATTAACCTGATTATTTAGACAGGTTTACCTCGAGTGTCTTGAATTTTCCCGCACCCGGTGCATAGCTCGGAAAAAAATAATTTAAAAACATTTTTTTTTAGATATTCCGAATTAGCGCAGAGAACATTTCAGTTTGACAAACTGTTTTAAACGGACCCGATCGGCCCGCCTTTGTCAGATGTAAAATTGTTTTTCGAAATTCCTGGCTTCAGGCCAAGATTGCTCCACTTGTTCGAGGCAGGTAGTACGGTGATTCAGTTTTTAATATCGCGAGCGCACCGAGCGGCCTGGAGGGCCAGCGGCTTATCACGGAACGATGCGGTAAAATCAGTGAGAATAAGCTCGTCCGCAGACATGGTATAGCTGCATGCGTTACCTGCCCCAGCCTGTACAATGAATGCAGAAGAAAGACTCAGTGCAGAATTAATCGTTTAGATCCTGGTACATGATCAAGTGATCTCGCTTATTTGACAGACTTTTGCAATTTATTCCATCACCCTAGTGCAGAACCGAATGCTAAAAACATCTTTTTCATGCACACCATTAACGAATGGGACGGTCTTCCCACCAGCATTGCTACTGCCACGCCCAACATGAATTTTC